TGAATAAATTTTTATTTATATTGTAGCTTCCTCGTTTTTCCTCTTCATTGCATACTTCTGATGGACTTCTCATACTATCTTCGTTGATGAAATCATATTTATCTGCAATCCTTTGGAAGTCCTTATTTCGCTGAAAAACTGATGACTTTAGATTGTACTGGTTGATACATTTTGAATCTTTAACGTTTAATGAGTCGGTTGAGTCGCTATGAGGACAAAATGGACATTTATCGTCAGTACACCAAAACGGTGAATGCACATCATTGTGTGGAGGATATGTTATTTTGTGATCTTCATTTATATAGTTCAATGACCATAATGAGTTAACTGAACACGGTCTGAGTCTATAAGATTCCCAAGGACGAAGTGAAGGTTTCAAGTTTGTCCGATCAACGCTTACTGGTCTCTGGTTAGTTGTATTTTGTATGGGTGAAACATATTTTGCACTGCTCTCAGTATTTGTTGGGATACTCATTCTTTTAACTGTTTCTGTCCCGCGACCAACAACTCTTAGGGAATTTGATCTTTTATACCATTCTCTAGCCATTCGTATTCTTTGTATACGTGGTGTATTCGAATGAGCGTTTATATCATCCCAGGATTGCGGACCAGGAGGATAAAATGGAGGTCTGCTAGACAATGATCCAAGAGAATTGGATCTTTTTGCAGTTTTTTTATTTGCTTGTTTAACAGGAGTTGTATTTCCTATCATATTGTAGTACATCAGTGGATGAGGAGCAGAACATTTATGCAATTGTCTTGTAGAGGATGAACCTGTAGGTATATTTCGATAACTATTGTTCATTTGAGAGTTTCGAATTTCTGAACTAACTGGACATTTGTCAGTTTTACTAATATTTGTGGACTTATCTTCAGTCTGCATGACTGTGATAGGAATGTTACCATTATTCACATTGTTTAATTCCTCTCTTTTACCTGTTTTGCAATGTTGTTCTGTGTAATGTGTACTAATTGGAAACATTTATTTTAGTGGTATATTATCCACTACAGAGCATTTCAATGTATTCATATTTTAATGAAATATAACTATTCGCCTAAATAATCCCTCATTTTTATATAGTCAAAATAATAGTAAGAATTATACAGTTAAAATCAATAAACAAATAGTAATAACCAATCAATATTACTTCACAAAGGAATTATGGGACAGAATATGTTGATTACTTCAAGATTGTTTGACAGAATAATAAAAGGCATATTCATTAATGATTGAAATTATTATTCATGAAAGTTGATAGGCTTTAAAAGCCGAACATATGAAGTGATATATCTGACTGTTATGGTAGTTTAAGGACATATGTACTCAGTAGTGATATAAGTTTAAAGTACAGCCTAAGTACTTTCTATAAGTGCTCAAAACTAGGAGATTTGAAAATATTGATTTAGATGAAATAAACAGTGAAAACATACAAAATAACTATGAGAGATAGTAAATTCTCAGACTTCTTCAACGATCATTACCTCCAATGGGAAAATGACATTATTCGTAATGTATACAACCATTTTAACCAATAAAATGCTAAATATTAGATTCAACTCTAGATTTATTACTGAGAGAACCTAAATAGTAATGGAATAATTGTATAACTACTATAATTTTCTTTTCAATTTTCATTTGAAATATTTCAGAAATTCCATTCTATAGGGTACCTAAATAAAAAACTAAACGCCTAAACTCCATATATTTTATTCTGAATAGGATTTATTATTATTGATCTAGTTAACACATGATATATATATGTAGCCACATAAGGACAAACTTTATTCTATGCAAAGTCATAAGTATCAGAATCAGTCCATTTTATGTACCCACTAATCAGTCAGTATATAATCAGAGAATAAAAGGGATTTTTAAGATCAACATTAAATGAGATGTAGCAAATTAAGATGAAAAAACTGTACCTGATCTAGTGACAGAAAAAATGCAAACAAAATGGTAATAAGTATTTCAAATAGAAAAGAAAATTTCCATTCTAGGGTATCGTTTATCAAACCTTCATAATCGTACCTATCACGTAATCAGTTGTCTACAATAAAATATAAATCCTCCACGTCATTAACAGGGCTACCATAATTTATATTGGCAGCACAAGGAGTGACCTTTTTAAGCGTATATCTGAACTTTGCACAAACCTATCTAAAGGTGGTTACAAATTAGTTAACAATTTTATTAGTAAATAACCGGTCAAACTTAGTCATCTGTCTCTAATAAAATCTTCATTCCAAATGTTCAACAAAATCATGCTAACTGGTTTCGAGGTATACTAGACATAAAATATCTGAAGTGAGGAGGCTTCGGTAATTCATCGATTCAAATCTGGTCTCTGTGTTTAGAAGTGATATATCTAATCTTTTATTTCACCATTGTCTTAATTCCGTATTACATGTTGTAGCTTTGTAAATTGTTTCGGCATGTGTCTGCTTATTCCTTATATTCATTAATTGAACCAGTAACTTGGACATTTTTTTGCTACATATTATGTTATTTTACATGTTACTCTTTACCCTTCGACTATACCTATAAATACATTTATACAGCTTTAGAGAATGGCATGTTTTGAAAGAAAATTTTCTTCTTTGAATTGTTTTATTTTTACTCAACAACCCATTTAGTTATTTGTTTTATTTAAGATATCTTAGTTAAATTTCAGGATAGTAGAAACTGAATTTATCCGTTTTTTCATGATGAAATAATGGAGTACATATAGAGAAATATTTTCTGGATACTTCATTTTGTTTTTTAAAAAAAATCCGAAACAAAATCCTTCTAAAAATACAAACAAGAAATACTAAATATAGATACTGAAGGCATTGCATATGAACTGAATACTTTATTCTTCTTCCATGAACAATGGTTACTATGACCTACTACTGTTCAAGCAATTTCAAGGTTAATAATCTCGACAGATATTAACAGTGAGAATAAAGGAAATACTTTTAATAATGATACGGTCTAAGTTACATCATTATTATAAGAATTATAGATTCACAGAGAACCGATAAAAAGAAAATCAGTTGGTCATTCCTAACTGTACACTTTGTCATGGTCAATGTCTAAAAGTACTAAAGTTATGTAAGTATATCAGGATCATGTGACTTACAGTAAGTTGGTTTCACAATAATGATTACTATAGTTGAATATAAAATACACAACTTATTCTAGTGCAGCACAGATTTTCTCAAAACGAAAGTAGAATGTAGTAGTAGTGAATTACAAAAAATACCTCGTGCTATAAAATATAGCAGACAAAACTGATCACTTTCAACAGTTCTAAAAATTCTGATCAGTGAACTGCTTCATGTTGAAAGCTTCAGAATAAAATAACATCAAATAGGATTCACTTTTATATTGCTTGGTAGTTTAAAATGAATGGTTAATTGATAGATCTAATTGTATGTTAGGAATCAAAATGTATAGTACTAGAATAGACTTCTTTATTCCTAATGATGAGCACATACAAAATATAAACAGGCAGCAACTTTGTTTTTATGCACTTGACATTACGGATATTTTAGTCTCAGTGATTTTAAAATTGATTAGTTTAATTCAAAGATAAGATTGACTGATGGAGAAATGTTATTGAAGAAATAAATGACAAATATGAAAATTTATAACTGTCAACTAATCTGCTAAGCTATCCAACTATCTTACTCATAGTAATAATCTGATCTACAAGTTCTAGTAAGATCTTTTGCATAAGCCAAAACATTTTTTTCATAATCACATTTACTAAATCATATGAGAAAGAGATTATACACTGAACTAATGACAAAAAATTGTTACCTAGACAACTTTCTAATAATTTCACCATAAAATTTTTCTTCATTACAACGGCTATTATTTGTATCAAAGCACTGGTCTAACTGTCGAGAAAAATGCGTAAATTTCATAAAATTTAATGAACCTTAGCTAACAGATAAATATTTTTGGCGAGACTATAATTTATGGACGAATCAATCAGGTATAAGATAACAGGTATCGAATTTTGACGAGAAATTCACTCATCCATTTGGCTAAATAGACTCTTGGCATTATAACTTATGTTAGTTCGTGGAAAAACCCTAAATCTAATTCCTAACCTTAACCATAAACTGTAACTCATCATTTGAATTCTTTACACTAATCTATAACCCTCATTTAGTCTTAGTTATTAAGTAGACACTCTCAAGGTCAGTCTATTGTCGCTTAAAGGTCGTCCACAAATTATGGTCCCACCATATTTTTTTAATTATAGGAAAATTATAATGGATTAAAACTTTTATGAAAATTCTTGATATTATGAAGTCTCTAAAAAACTTTTTGAACGAATGAAGAAATTAATTACTCTCTTAGCAGATAAATGAATCCTTTAGCAAAACAATATTATACAGATATCATGGCTCATATGTCACAGAGATAGAAAACGTTCTGATTGTTATGTACATTCTGTGTCATATACAACTAAGCATATGTCAAATGGATCTGTGAAACAACGTTTATTAATCTGTAATACTAAAATACAGATCAGTCATAACATTTCTACACCGATCTTCTAATTTTGATAGAACAAATAATGATCTAGACACTACATATATGTTAAAACTTATGTGATATGAATTATTTCAATGAGTGCAACTAACTTTAATACCCCTCAGAAACATAAAATGTAAGTAGTACTAAGAATGTCCATAAATCTGTACTTTATGATGCACTTCGTGTATCAAAGGTTTTTTTTTGGTCAAACGAAATCAAATAACAAGTTAGTGTTCGCTTTTTATTAGTCTAAACAACAAAATGTATTAATGGTTAGTGTTGATAATGTTCAACCACAATGGTTGTCAAGCTGTAAACTCTGTTCGTTCACTTAAACTTTGTTTTGATCATTTGATAAATCATATTTCAAACTTATTCAGCGAGTAAATATGGATGAAGTTTTAATGTTTTCTTAATACAATTTCACATTATATAAAAAAAAGAAACTATTCATATTAACACTTACGTTATTTCCCGTTTTAACAGTTGGCATTATTCAGTCAATGATGAAGGTATTTTCAATAAATAGATAAGATGATTAGTCAATATTAGTGAGATTTATGGATAACAAACAATCTGATATAATACTGGTGAAGATTTGACAAATATGAAAAGTAATGAGTAACTAATAAAAGGAAATATATGTCAAAAAAGATTTTGTTGTTGTTTATATGTGTTTATACTATTTTAATTAGTTTCGAAGAAAATTATAATAAATGGATCCAACTATAGTAAGATGAATTATATCGATTGAATGATGATTAAAAAAATAACAGAATTTGTCCAACTGATAGTCACAGTAAGTTAAAAAGTATAGTGTAATTATAGAATTTTTTTATTGCCACTATTAATTAACACTATTTCTCTGTTCGACTGATGCTAGTAACAATATTCTATGAAATAAAATACAAGTTGATAATAAGAAGGCAGATGAATCTTCTATCCCTTTTTTGCTTTAAACCTATCATGTTTTCTATCCATTACTATTACCACTAATACTGCTGCTGTTACTTCCACTTATTTCCCTAGCCTTGATGTTGTGATGCATTTTATAATAACGACAAGCACCATATTAATAAATAACAAATTATAGAAGCATCAATACTACCACCTACGCATTTATTTTGCCTACACAAATATATGTGCTTGCGAAATTATCAATATACGGAATTGTTTTAGACAATTCTATTTCATATTAAAGATGAACGCACACATTAGTTGACAATAAACATAGTTATACAGACACACAAGATACATATACACAGAACACGTGGATACACGGACACAAATAGGTCACAAATTGTGCTTTTCTCACAGTCATATCATGATAATATCTAAGTTTTAGAGAAATATAAAATCATCATATGTGTATCGATTGTTAACATAGTCAATAACAATTGACTATATACTTTCTAAAGTTTAGAATATTGCCTATTAATAAATGACTACTTATTAGTCGAAGCTTATGTTTATTAACTGTTTATGTCATATATTTTTCATCCTAATTTTGTTTTTGTAAACTGACTTATTTCAATCAGAAGTCTTACTTTCGATGTTTCCTTAATTTATGTGATAAAAACCTAATAAACAAGTAAATAAAGCATTTGAAGTACTACATTGTCCAAAAATCGCTTATGTTTCGCTAAGTAGTATTGATAAAACTAATTTAGCATTTATAATTGAATAGAATGTTTCGGCTTTACACTTAGGGTGGGATGATTAACCAGACTTGTTTTATAAGTTGAGCACTTTTAAGTAAATAGTAGTATACACATGTTGGAGTCAAATCCATACTTACGTTTGACGAAGGAGTAATAAATACTGGGTTTGAGTCTCAGTATAGACATCATCATTGGAATTCAGGTACATCTGATTGATGGGTCCCAAATGGGCTGAAACATACCTCTTGGATTACACTACCAGCCACAATCCAACTACATTAATAAACATTTTACTAGAAGTTGATGTCAAGGCAAAATAGTATGATTTTGAATTATTTGTCAATTAATGAATTAATAATTAAAGACGGAACTAAAGTTAATAGAACGACTAATGATTATTCACTTATTCCTGCTATCTTTTAGTGGCCCCATATCTAACTCCAGTTATATAGTATGATTAATTGCTATTGAAGTATTCATGTCGTCTATCCTCGTATAGAATGATTGACATAAATCGCGTTAGGGAATAACGAAATTAAATAAGTCAAATACGAGAATGAATGTTTCAATACAAATATTTTGTACACTCATTGATCTGGACAGAAAATCAGAGGAACAAAGTGAGGAGAAGAGAGCCAAGCGAAATGACGTTCACTGGAGAAGGAAAATGAGCCAACTCCATTTAATCAAGAGTTAATCGATATTAATAACCACACAAAAATCAGTTACAGACATGTAATGAATAGGATAAGAAGTGTACACCCAGACACTCATATAAAAATAGTCAAGGTTGATATGTGAATAATTAACAAGGTCAAAATATGAACTCAAGAAGAATGAATAAATTGGCCTATCCAGAAACCAGAATAAGCTATGTGGGCTCGACATAGGACCAACCACTACAGTCTCATCACAATATAAATGCACATATCCGTTTTTAACAATATCCCTGTAAGTTATTTTTAAAATGTAGTTAGTATATTTAAACAATTAACTTTACTTACAACTAAGTTATATTAAGATTTATTGATTTTAGTAGAAAACAATTTTACAGGATTGAATATGGAAGTAAATAGATGAGTTTAGTATGATTTCCCAATCACATCGTATACAGTATACTGATTTAATTTAATCTTCCATCACATTTGTCCCTGTGATATGTCCTGGATACAATATCAAACTTAATACTAGATGAATTTTCTTTATTTGTTCATCTCATCACAAGTGACATGGAATGATAATAATACAATTGGTTTCCGATGAAAAGTGTAGTTGGACAAATAATTTACAATGAATTCTAAATTTCTCCTCTTTTCATTATGATTGTTATTGCCAACTTTTGACATTTAAAAAAGGTAGACTAAATATTTTTAAAAAAAACAGTTACTAAATGTCACAGAACATGTGGATCATTTAAAAAAAGACTTGTCAAATATTTTATGATCAAAGCGTCGCCATTTGTTTGTTTATTTGTGTATTTTTTTAACTAATTAGGACAAAACAACTATCTAGTACTCAGTAGTTTTCGATGACTTTTCAACTGCTGTCAGGTTGCTAATAAAATTTCTCCCCAACCTTTGTAGTTATATAGTAACAATTTTTGATTTATTAGTTCTGTACTGTTCTTAAATGTAATGTGTAAACATTTTGGGAAGTTTTATTTCTTAACCCTGAAAATTGTCTGATGTTCTAGTAAGAGATTTTAATGTTTAAGGTTAACCTAGTAGGTGATGTACAAAATAATAATTGACAAATTGAAATTAGTTGAAAACTGATTGAATTATTTACAATACTACTATTTCACCAATAATGATGAGGTAAACTTCACACTATACTTATGTCATTTAAATGAAATTAATTTACTGTAGATTTAATGTATTTATTTTTTTAATAATCTTCCAACCATGGTTATTTCTATAAATATCTAAACAATAATGCAGTAAGAAGAGTGAATGATCTTTTTAAAAGATGAGTATCATGAGTAACTGCTGTTTAATTACTAATGAATTGATAAGTTTGAGACAAAACTCAAGTTTTAAATTATAGTACAACTCAAAGTAACAAACTAACAAACTTTATATTTAAAGAAATAAATTGTAATCAGAGAGGGATTTCGTGGATATTGTAGTAATTTAATGGATGAATTCATGAGTCAGTTGAAGCTAGACCACCATGGAAAACCTGGGAGCACTGGACAGTCGTTTTGTCCTAGCATAGTACTACTCAGCAGTGCTCATCCACGATCCCGCCCGTCCAGTGATTTCAGGTTTTCCATCATGGTCTAGCTTCAATTGACTCATAAATTCATCTATTAAGTTGATAAACATCAAGATGAGTACTATGATATTGAGTCATTGAACTGACGGATAAATATATCTACAGATGAAAATGATGAAATATTGTGAATCATAAAACAAGTGTGAACTATAAATTAGAAAGAATAAAAAAATTCGTATACAAATCTAATCTTAATTAAATAATAAGAATAAAACTAACATGTATATATACAACCGTATGAATATTAGTTAATTGATTTAGAGTGTTATTGTTACGTGATGAATCTCCTTTTTGATGAAATGGCGGCCTGCTTGAATATCTGCGCTACTTGTTTCTGCTCTCTAGATATTTCAACAAGTTATCTGTTTCGTTTGTTTGTTTTAACACATCATTATGTCTTTTAATCACATAACCTAGTCAGGTGTGTTTATGAAAAGTTTACGATCTTTCGCTGTACAAGTTACGAAAAAGTACAATCAGCGACTTTGTGATGGCTGGAAATATGCACTGAAAAGAATGAACATTATTCAGATGTCGATGCCTGAACTGATAACAGCATATCGGTGATCACTCAATATTTATTATCAGGATCGATCAAGAAATAAGAAAAGAAAACTTTTTGAAATACTCTGTGCTGAGAACTATATATTATACCAAAAAATAGAATTGAATAAAGCCAATAATAATAATAAGTGTAAAATGAAAAAGTACTTAATTTTTGACAAATGATTGAGCCTTCATAATATAGGGATATATCATATTCTAGTTCCGTTTAGTTTTAGAATCAATAGATGGAACATATTTACCTATTTGGTTTTGTCAAGATGTATCAAGCTTCTAGAGTAATTTTTACATCAGACTGGAATCATCCATAGAAATTCGGAAAGCTAAAAAGCCCTGATTTAATCCTCAATTTCCGTTTAAGACTTCCTAACAATCTACATTCGCGACCTCACACATGCTGAAAATAACACGCAACTTATTCAGAAGTGTACAGAAAACCATACAGGAAAATTATTTGTGTTTATTTTGACATAAAGAACTGTTTCGTGCTGCCTTGTTTCCAATAGATCACAGCTGGTATTAGTTTATCACAAAATGTACTATATTATAATTAATAATGAATCTATCTTTGAATAGCTGAACTATTCTAACAGATTACGACATTTCGGAGTTCGTATGCATATTATGACGGACACAAGGCTGGCTGTTGACAATGAATACACTGGATGCATAATAGGAGAAAGGGACATAGTTTATCGAAACGTATCGTTTATGGGGTATCAAATTAACACATTAGAATATCAGTGAATCCTGTAGATGAACGAACACTTATCTGATTCTAGATAACTCATGTTAAAAGATAAGTGAATGAGGTGCCGGTATCCTCTACGTACAATAAACAAAAATGGATAAAAAATGCTTTCTGGTTACTTTGCCTAGCTTATTTGGATGAACTCAAAAATTAACTGTATGACTCAGACCACTTGATTCTACACAGAGATATCTGATTGACATGAATATTTGTATTAGTTTTATATAACTCCATTAAATT